TGTCTGATATCAAGGGAGGCCTGGCTGATGAGGTGCATTGTTATTTTGTCGTACCCTCCTGGCCCTCAGGATCTAGGTTGGTGTACTTTCTCAGGTCCAAGCTGAAGAAGAATGAAATTAGACAGGATTTTCATTTGGGCCTTGGGTTATTTCTTTAGGTTGTGCATAAATCAGTTTTTGTGACTGCTTTCTGCATACTTTCAATTAGGCAAGGTATCCTATAATCCCAAATAATTCCAATAGGGTTTCCTGCCTGATAATGCCATCTAGGATTGGCTTTTGGGACCACCTATACCTACTCCAGAGCACAGTTATGGGTATGGGTGTGGGACTCATCAGGCCAGTTTTGAGCCAAAAACCAGATACAGGTTTTTTGCTCATTCGTGCAGCACATGATAAAGATGATGTAAAAGTCCTGCCAGGTGAGATCAAAAACAATTATGAAGCTTTTGAATTCCTTAGTGAAGTGGGAAGGATTTTGGCTAAAGGAGACAAATTTTCATTCTATCTGAGACAGATCAGACATTGGAAAGGGAATAGGGACCCTAATGGTCTTGGCATCCCTTTTCGCTACCTCATGGAGAGGCATGACATTTTGTGGAGAAACAAAAGTCGGGTCCTTAGGCTCATAGTTAGTGCCAGACTAGGTATAAGATGGGGAGAAGGGGCCTCGGTAGCGTGGTGGCATGGTGGCAGCAATAACAGGGGCACCCTAGGGTGTAAGGAGGATCCAGAGGAGCCTCTGGGTGTTCAGAAGAAGTGGTAAGATGATGGGGTGGAATTATAGGGGTCTTCTAGAATGTGCACAGCCTCAGATGGGCCATGAAATTGAGCAAGACACATTCTACAGTTTTTGTGAAGGCCAGAGTTTGGGATAATGCCATGAAGGCTTCCATATTTGAGACCTCCAATCACTTGAGGGTATTTCTGGCATAAGGTTTAAGCTGGAATATAGTATTACAAGAAAGAGTTCCGTGGAGTGGCCTTTCGTCTTGAGCTGGGAGTTTGTACTGAGCCCAGGAAACATTACATAAAAAGATGAGATGTTGTTTCCATAGGACTTAGGGGTCAAATCTGATTCAGTTTTTAAAAATGCAGCCCAAGGGTGAGCCTGAAGGAATAGAGGGAGCTTGTGCCATAGTTGGGAAGACCATCAGCCGATTTTCAAAGGGCCATCATGCCACAGGGAATGGAGCCCCAATTCCTGATTGTGATTTCAGTCAGGACATTCCACTGACCTCAGAAAGGACCTGACTGTATAAGGAGTGACTGACTCTACTGTGGAGTCCCCCCAAGAAGAGCTTCATGGCAAGTAGCAATGGCTATTCTTGGTGGGAACCAAAAAATTCCTCACCTTTTGGGCAAGGGAGGTCTGCTGATTCCTCCTGGGGCGTCATATCTTTACCAAGGAGTAACCTTGGCCAGAGGTCATCAATTCTCCAAGGAGTACTAGAATTTGTCCACTGATGGAAAGTCCCAAGAAATTACAGGAGAATCTGGGCAGGTCCCAGGGCCAGTCAAATCTCCATAATAGTGCCACCAAATCTGGGAGGCCAATGACCAACCTGGTGGAGGCCAGTGACACAGGTACTGGAAGAATTCACCAAAGACTGAACAAAGAAGACAGAAGTTTATTGAATACAATGTCAGGGAGCCCTGGGCAGGACAGCAAAAGAGTTACTGTCTGGGAAGATGCAGTAATGGGGGCCTGTAGTTGAGAGGGGAGGTGAGTAGGTATAAGAAACATATGGAATTTTCATTTTTTGGTACCTGTGTCTGGGTGTAAATAACCCTTTGGTCAGCTAGGGCTTATGGAAATTTTGAGGTGGGTCACCTAATGGGCCTGTTTTTATTCACCTAGGGGGTAGGGGTGCGCTCTGGGCCCTTCTACCTTATCTAGATTTCGATTGCTCAGGTTGGTTACCTACAAGTGGCCTCTACACATACCCTGTTTCCTGGGAGGAGTTTGTCCTTCTCTAGATTTTAGCTTTAGCTTTCTGATGCATTCAAAAAAAGTGATTTTGATTATCCAGTTTTTCATAATCTAAGTAGGGGAGGAGATCCTCTGCTTTTTATGTTCCAGTCTTGACTTTCTAAAAAATTATTTCTTTCCTCTCATTAGACTGAGAATATTTCTGTTTACTGATCAACCAAGAAATAACAGGACAAATAGCCCAAACACATTTATGCAGATGCAATAAAGCACAAACAAATATTTAAGAGCCTTTAACAGTTATGAACACCATGGAAGTAGAAGGTCAGCATGTCCACAGAGGCCAGCTCTGTAAGATAAGCATGGAACATTCCAGCAGGAACAGTTAGAAGGGAAGCTGGTTACATGATTCCAGAACACTCTATTAACTCTACTTGCTACAAATTCTCACTGGTTTTTTATTACAGGCAATGGGGGATTTGCAGTAGGACCCTCTGTGTGAACTTCATGATTATTAGCAGATGCTCGTATTGTATAGAAAACAGTGTAAGATTCTATTTCATCAAAACTGGTTATGACTAGTGCTTTCTGAAGCTTTATGGACATAAATGGACATAGATGTCCATAATTTTTAAGAATAATTGGATGCCTGAACCAAACTATTCAATCATTGAAAAATAATCATTGAGCACTTACCACTTTCCAGGCCCTCATTTGGATGTTGGGTATCCATTTTAAGAGGGATGTATATCTAACACATGAATGCAACCAATGAAGTCATGATTCTGAGTGGGCAAACATCAGATAGAGGTCCCTCTTAGAAAATATTATTTCAAGTAATTTATGGTATTAGGTACAGCCTGTACATTATAATAAAACTCAGTACACGAAGTTTTAGGGAAGATGGTGCTGTAGGAGGGCCCTAAGATCACCTCTTTGAACTAGATAACACCCACATCAGTGTAAATAACCCAGAAAATGACCCAAAGACTGGCAGAACTAACTCTCCACAGCTAAATGTAGGGAAGAGGCTGCATTGAACAGGCAGAATGGGTGGAGTTGGGGTAGGGAGCTAAAGGGATGCACATGATGTCCACAGGTGGAAGGGACACAGCAGCCACAGAGAAGGGATAGAAACAAATTCACATCGGGGAGCACACTTCGGAAAGATGAATTCCCATAATATTTGGTTTTGCAAATCATGATTTTTGGAGTTCTTACCATCCATAAGGCTTAAAACCTGGAACATAAAAAAATCAGTAGGCTCAGCTCTGGGAGAGCTAGCAGGTTCAGGAGGAAACTGAGTCCCCATATGCTTAAAGAAACACCATAATAAAACAGAACCAAAGAGTTACAGCATAGAAGCCCCAGTTTGAAGTATGCCTAGGGCATAGCGGAGGGAGTGTAATTTTCTTCTCTCAGAGCATGCCCTATAAAGACAGAGATTGTTGGGGTTAGACTCCTCCAGGAATAAAGGAGCTGTCATGTGCAATTTCCCTCCATCTTCCCTGAGTGTAAGCACATAGACAATTGTGGAAACCCATGGAGAGCCAACACTCACCTACTCCTTTGGTATCAACATGCCACACACCCATGTTCCCTTGCAGGCATACTCCCTTCAGTCAGACCTTATGCTCCAGTTCCCCTCCCACAGCATACCTGTGCAAACCTTGTTAACAATGTATATCCTGCCTCATTACAGTTCTATGGATCTGCCCCCTCCAATCCAGACTGTCTGCATCTCAATGGGTGCAGGCCACTACAACAGCCAAGCTGTGGAAACTTTGCTAACACCTTGCCACCCACCTCCAGGCTCTTCTGAGGTTCTGCCCACTTCAATAGGATCTTGGCAGGAGCCCATCCAAAGTGGTGTCACGAGTCTGATAATGCCCAAGCATTCCTGACAGAGGCCACTCTACTATACAACAAATCTTGCTCCAGGGAGAGGGAAAGATAACTACACAGAACATTCTGACTGAGGCTCTAGAAGTGGGCTGGGGTGGACATCTGTTCTGATGCAGGGCCCTTCCATTGATGAAAGCTTCTCAGGGGACAACACAGGGAATGGGCCCTGCAGATCAGTGCTACTCATCTCTGGGAAACACTTACTATGACATAAAAAGGACAAGGAGGCTGCTGAATGGCCCACTAAGAAGATAGGGACCAAACCCAAACCACACAAGCAGGGACAGCCATTGCAGATTACTGGACTAAAGGAAAGAGTGGATCAGCTTCCACAGCAGACATGCAACACACATAGGAGATACCCCTGAGGTGTCAAGCTCTGGTGAACAGGGGACTCTGCACGGCAGGACATTACAGAACTTCTTCATCAGGCCACAACTTTCAAGTGCAGGAGATGTAGCTAACTTTCCTAACATAGAAAGAGAACAGCTGGCTCGCCATAGTTGTCTTTGTCTGCGGGCCAGGTTCCTTGTACATCCACAGGAACTGCACTTGCCTTGTCCTTCAAAACCTCCCAAGAGTCCTATGGCCTCAACCTGAATTATGGGATGCTGCTTTGACCCTCAACAGTAACGTCCAAGTCCTGTGTCACTGTTTAGAAGTTTAAGGCACCAGTTTAACAAGAAGATCAATGGATGACTGAGAGAGAAATGTAAAGGAGGTGCTATCTAGAAAAGGTCTGGGAAATTTATAAATAGATAAAGACACAACATGGAAGACATGTGAGTTAAGTCTCCTTCTCCATGAAAATACAGCTCAGAAAAAACTCAGAAAACCTGGTAACAGAAAAGTATTTCCTCTGAACACAGACACTGATTAAGACTATATTTCTATGTATGGGACTCAGTTTAAGGGAATTTAGAACATAATTTATACTTAAATATAAGAGAAGCTGGCTAAGAAAGAACCATTAAGAATACAATGATGTCCTATATTTCATCCCAATCTGTAATTGTCTAATCTCAGTATAAGCAATGTAAAGTCTTTCATCATAAATTCAACTTCATTAGATACCTGAGGATTAATGTTGAAGAGAAACCATACGAATTTCATGAATGTGGAAAAGCTTTTATCTATGTCACATGTCAAGAGATACTGAGGAATTCTTGTTGGAAAAAATATCTGTGCATGATAAGAATGTTGGAAAGCCTTCAGCCTGAAGCAGATCTCCTTCAGCATGACCAGATTCATAGTAGAGAGAAACCTCATGAATGCAATGAATGTGGAAAAACCTTTAGCCTGAAGCAAAACCTCATAGAGCATAAGAAAATGCATACTGGAGAAAAATCACATGAATGTACTGAATGTGGTAAAGTATTCTCTCGAGTCTCATCCCTTACTCTACATTTGAGAAGTCATACAGGAAAGAAACCATATAAATGTAATAAATGTGGAAAAGCCTTCAGCCAGAAAAGAAACTTCCTTTCTCATCAGAAACATCATACCGGAGAGAAACTTTATGAATGTGGGAAAGCTTCTATTCAGATGCCAGGCCTCATTAAACACCAGAGAAATAATACTGGAAACAAACCCTATGCATGTAAGGAATGTGGAAAGGCCTTCAATGGCAAATCATATCTCACTGAGCATGAGAAAATTCATACGGGAGAGAAACCATTTGAACGTAATCAATGTGGAAGAGCCTTCAGCCAGAAGCAATACCTCATTAAACATCAGAATATCCACAGTGGAAAGAAACCCTTTAAATGTAATGAATGTGGAAAAGCCTTTAGCCAGAAGGAAAACCTCATTATCCATCAAAGAATACATACTGGAGAGAAACCTTATGAATGCAAAGGGTGTGGAAAAGCTTTCATTCAGAAGTCAAGCCTCATTAGACACCAGAGAAGTCATACAGGAGAGAAACCCTATATATGTAAAGAATGTGGGAAAGCCTTCAGTGGCAAATCAAATCTCACTGAGCATGAGAAAATTCATATTGGAGAGAAACCCTATAAATGTAATGAATGTGGAACAATCTTTAGGCAGAAGCAATACCTCATTAAACATCACAATATTCATACAGGAGAGAAACCCTATGAATGTAATAAATGTGGAAAAGCCTTCTCTCGAATCACATCACTCATTATACATGTGAGAATTCATACGGGTGATAAACCTTATGAATGTAAACTATGTGGGAAAGCCTTCTGTCAAAGCTCATCTCTTACTGTTCATATGAGAAGCCATACAGGTGAGAAGCCCTATGGTTGTAATGAATGTGGGAAAGCCTTCTCTCAGTTCTCAACTCTTGCTCTACACATGAGAATCCATACTGGAGAAAAACCTTATCAGTGTAGTGAATGTGGGAAAGCTTTTAGCCAGAAGTCACATCATATTAGACACCAGAGAATTCATACTCACTAAAGCTCTATGAATGCCTTGAATTTAGGAAAACTTTCATCAGAACTCACACTTTAATGGTATACTGAAAATTCATTTTATAATAAAGTGACATGAATGTGGAAAATACTTCAACAACTCAAAACTTAAATACTAACAATTTTAATAAGTATCATAGTATCATGAAAACCTGTACTCCCAGAACTCCCACAACAAACATTGTTAATGATATACTTTTAGGAGCATTCTCATCGACGTAAGGATCCAGTCATGAGCACTAATCAGCATGGTTCTGGAATGCCTACCTGATGCATTAAGAGGTATAAAGATTTGACATTAAGAGACAAAATTGTCATTTAAAAAATGTTTCGCTATATATGTAATCAAAATTATTTGTTCTTGATTCATTTGTAGAAATCAGAGATTGGAACAGAATATTGTATTCAGAAACATGCATGCCTTTATGGGGAATTGTTAATTGATAGAGGTGGTATCACAGGTTGGTAGAGAAATGAAATCATGGATGATTCAAAAAATGGTCTCAGGGTAACTGACTCTTCATGTGGAAAAATATTAGATCTCTGCTGTAGTAATACATTAAAGTATTTATTATGAAATCCAAAAGTATTGAAGACTAGAATGCAAAAAGCAAAATTTAGTAATATAAGAATTTTATAGGAGAGTGTTTTTAAAACCTTGGGGTAGGAGGGAATTTCTAAAATAGATTCCAGGATACTCACTCTTGAGTATACATGCATATCTCCAAGAAACTGATACATGTACCTAGGGAGTCATGTATCTTTACGTTCATTGAAGCATGAATTACATTAGCAATGGCTGTTGCTTGTGAAATGGATAATAAAATGTGATATAGGCACACAGTAGAATGTTCTCTAGTAGTGAAGTATAACAGGTGATATATATAAATATAGTAACAGAGAAACACCTGAAAAGTCATGTAGAGTAAAAACAATGAAGGGATAAATATAATCATAACTGTGAATATTAAGTCAACACTAACAAACACTAGTATTAAGCATTGATTATGGATAAACATTTTTATGTAAAACTGAAGAATGGATTGGAAAGATACACACTCAATTTCCAAAGGTGGTTGCCTCTAGAAAGAATGGTAGTGGAAAAGAAATGGGACCAAGCATGGTAGTTAAAGGATACTTCAGTTTTGTATCTAAACACCTATCATTAAAAAGAAATAAAGATTCCAAGTAAATATAAAAAAAAAAGAAAGAGAACAGAGACTTAAACAAAATGAGGACACAGAAGAATATGTTCCAAATGAAAGAACAGGACACAGTCTGAGAGCTAAGCAAAAAGGAGATAAGTAATATGCCTGATAGACAATTTGAAGTAAATGTCATAAAGTTACTCTCTAGACTTGAGAAAAGAGTAGAGGACTTCAGTGAGATCCTCAACAATGAGATAGAAAAGATAAAAAAAAGCAATCAGTGATGAAGAACTAAATAACTGAAATTAAAAATACACTAGATGGAATGCATAAGAGAATAGAGGAAGCAGAGGAACAGATCAGTGACCTGGAAGACGGGGTATAGGAAGCAATCGAGTTGAAGAGGAGAGAGAGGGAAAAATATGCAAAAGGGAATTAGACTTAGGGAACTCAGCAACACCATCAAGCATAAAAATATTTGCATTATACATCACAGAAGGAGAAGAGAGAAAAGGGTGCAAAAAATTTTATTTGAAGAAATAATAGCTGAAAACTTCCCCAAACAGGTGAAGGAAACAGAAATCAAAAATCAAGAGGCACAATGAGCCCCCAACAAAATCAATGCAAGGAGGTCCACAGCATAATACATATTAATTAAAATGGCAAAAAGTAGTAGTGATGAAGGAGAATTTTAAAACCAGCAAAAGAAAAGAAGAAAGTTATATGCAAAGGAAACCCATAAAGCTATCAGCTGATTTTTCAGCAGAAACTTTGTAGACCAGAAGAAATATGGCATGATAAATTCAAAGTACTAAAAGGAAAATGTCCCTAGCAAAGAATACTCTACCCAGCAAGGCTATCATTCAGAATAGAAGGAGAGATAAGAGTTTCCCAGACAAACTAATGTGAAAAGAATTACTGAACACTAACCCAACACTACAAGATATGTTAAAGGGAAGTCTGAGTGGGAAAGAAAGGAAAGGGAAGACCAAAAGAAAGGAAGCAGAAAGGCAATAAAAACAAGGATATCCATAAAAATCAGTCAAGGGACTCACAAAATAAAAGGATGCAAAGTATGACACAATATTTCAAAAACTTGGGGGTGGGGAGGAGTAAGATTGATTTAAAACTTAGTGACCTTAACTTAATATTGACCGCTATAGACAGAAGCTCTTATATACAAAGTGAATGATAACAACAATTCAAAAATTAGTAATACATATGCAAAAATCAAGAGAAAAGAATCCAAGTATGTCACTAAAGAAAGCCAATTAACCATGGGAGAATAGAGAACTACAAAAACAACCATAAAACAAGTAACAAAAAGGGCGCCTGGGTGGCTCAGATGGTTAAGCATCTGCCTTCGGCTCAGGTCATGATCCCAGAGTCCTGGGATCGAGTCCCGCATCGGGCTCCCTGCTCCTTGGGAGCTTGCTTCTCCCTCTGCCTCTCATGAATAAAAAAAAAAGTAACAAAAAGACAGTAAGTATATTCCAAACAATAATTACATTGAATGTAAATGGACTAAATGCTTCAATCAAAAGACATAGGGTGAAGGGATGGATATAAAAGCAAGACATGTATATGTTGCCTACAAGGGACTCATTTCAGATGTAAAGACTCATGCAGATTCAAAGTGAAGGGATGGAAAATCATTTACCAAGCAAATGGATGTGAAATGAAGCCAAGGTAGCAATACTTGTATTGGACAGGATAGACATTAACAGAAAGACTGTAACAAGAGGAAAAGAAGTACACTATATAATAATAAGGCGAACAATCCAACAAGAAGATATAACAAAGGTAAATATTTATGCAACCAACATGGGAGCACCCAAATACATAAAGCAGCTAATAACAAACATAAAGGAAATAATCACTAGTAATGCAATAATAGTAGGGAACTTTAACACCCCACTTACGTGGATGGATCCAAGCAGAAAATCAAAAAGGAAACAGTGGCTTTTGAATGACACATTGAACTAGGTAGATCTAAATGATATATTCAGAACATTCCATCCCAAAACACCTGAATACACAAGCTTTTCAAGAGCACATGGATCATTCTCAAGAATAGATCTGATATTAGTCCACAAAACAAGTTTCATTGATTTCAAAAAGATCAATGTCATACCATGCATCTTTTATGACCACAACACTATGAAACTAGAAAGAAACCACAGGCAAAATCTGGAAAGAGCACAAATACATGGAAGTTAAATCATATGCTACTAAACCTTGAATGGGTCAACTATGAAATCAAAGAGGAAATAAAAAAAAAAGCCATGGACACAAACAAGAATGAAACACAATGGTCCAAAATCTTTGCTATGCAGCAAAAGCTGTTCTAAGAGGTACATTTAAAGCAATATAGGCACACCTCAAGAACAAGAACAATCTCAAATAAACAACTGAACCATAAAACTAAAGGAGCTAGGAAAAGAAGAACAAATAAAACCCAAAATAGTAGGAGAAGGGAAATAATAAAAATTAGACCAGAAATAAATGATATAGAAACAAGAAAAAACCCCAAAAAACAGATCAATGAAACCAGGAGTAAGTTCTTAGAAAAGATCAACAGAATTGATAAAAATTTAGCCACTCTTCAAAAGAAAAAGGAGGGGGGAACTCAAATAAACAAAACCAGAAATGAAAGAGGAGAAATAACAACTTACATCATAGAAATACAAAGGATTGTAAGAGAATACTATAAAAAATTACATGCCAAGAAATTGGACAACCTACAGGAAATGGACAGATTCCCAGAAACATATAGCCTCCCCAAACTGAAATGGGAAAAAACAGAAAATTTGAACTGACTGATTACCAGCAATGAAATTGAATCAGTAATGAAAAAACTCCCCAAAATCAGAAGTCCTGGACCAGAAGGCTTCAAAGGTGGATTTTACCAAACATTTAAAGAAGAGTTAATACCAATTCTTCTCAAACTATTAAAATTAAAAGTGGAAGGAGTGCTTCTAGATTTATTCTATGAGGCCAGCAAATACTGGTACAAATACTCTGATACTAAAAGCAGATAAAGACAATACATAAAAAGAGAACTCAGGCCAGTAATTCTGATGAAAAGATGTAAAAATCCATAACAAAATATTAGCAAACCATATCCAACAATACATTAAAAAAATCATTCTTCACAATCAAGTGGAATTTATTCCTGAGATACAAGTGTGATTCAATATTCATATATCAATCAACTTGATATATGACAACAAGAGAACCACAATGAGATATCACCTCACACCTGTCACGTTGGTTAATTTACAAAAGAAGAAAAAAAAACACAAGAAATAAATATTGAGGAAGAGGTCAAGAAAAAAGACACACTGCTGGTAGGAATGTAAATTGTCCAGCCACTGGGGAAAAGACTATGGAGGATCTTCAAAAAATCAAAAAAAGAATTACTGTATGATCCAGCGGATTTTACTACTGGATATTTTTTGCATTATTGGGTATTTACCCAAAGAATGTGAAAACACTAAAATGAAAAGAAACTAGCATCCCAATGTTTACTGCAGCATCATTTACTAAGTAGCCAACATACAGAAACAATGCAAGTGTCCACAGTTAGATGAATAAAAAGAAAAGATGTGGTATGTACACACAATGGAATATTACTAAGACATAAAAATAACATCTCTCCATTTGCAACAACATGGATGGAGCTAGAGAGCATAATGGTAAGTGATATAAGTCAGTCAGACAGAGACAAATACCATATGCTCTCATTCATATGTGGAATTTATGAAACAAAACAAAGGAACAAAGGAAAAAGTGACAAAGGAATAGACTCTTATCTACAGAGAACACATTGCTGGTTCCCAGAGGGGAGGTGGGTGGGGATGGGGGAAATAGGTGAGGGGGATTAGCAATGCATTATGTTCATGAACACTGATAATGTATAGAATTGCTCAATCACTATATTGCACACCAGAAACCAATATAACACTATGTTAACTATAGTGGAATTAAAAAAATAACCAAAGATAAACTAACTCAGCACACCAAAATGTATATTTTTGGTTTATGTGTTTTTCCAAGTAGACTCCTTGAATAAACTCCTTGAAGAA